TATTGGATGTTGCATTGTTGACTGATGAATTTTTGCTTCCCTTACTCTCATATCCTCTAGAGCCATTTGGTCCACCAGAACCCGCATGGAACTTTCCATGAAGGCGGTGTCCCGGTGGATAGCCTTTAAGCTTCCAACATGTGTCAATGGTGTGATAGTCAGCATCACAATGAGAACAGTGGGACTGTTTCTTCTCAGTCAATCGACCTTTACCTCCATTGGTGCTGTTCCCGCGGCCTGTTCGAACTAACATGGCTGCAGGTTTGATGATGCTAGCCCCAGCAGCCATGTCCCTCTGTTTCTCTTCTTGTGTCAACATGGAATAAACAGATCGAATAGAAGGCAGGGGCTGAATTAATAGTATCTGTCCATGAATAGCAGAATAAGAATCATCCAATCCCATTAAAATTTGTAGTACCTTATTTCTCTTAGCTTGTTCATGGTTGGACTTCATAGTGCCGCAAGAGCACGGGGTGCAAGAACATGGTTTGACAGTCCCCACAGACTCTTTAGTTTGGTGAAATACACGTTGATTGGCTGTTGGTTCTGAGTAAGGCGTGCAAGATCACGCTGAATTTCAAATAGACAAGACACGTTTTAATGAGAAAAACGTTCTCTTAGATCATCCCAAACTTCTTTGGCCGTCTGCATATAGACAACGTTGGTGGCGAGATCCGCAGAAACCATATTGAGGATCCACATAAGAATCATGTCATTACACCGTTGCCAAAGGGCAGAATCTATTGGCTTCTGATTTGCAGATGGCTGTGTTACACTTCCATCAACAAACCCAAACTTGTTCTTCGCATTGAGTGCAACGGACATGGAACGGCACCAACTGCTATAATTATCACCTGTTAGTTTAGTGAAAATAAGTATCATCCCAGGATGATCGGAATGGTGAATAAAGTAAGGGCTAGTGGAGTCATGAGACATGTTTTGTTCAGATTTATCATTCATGACTGAAAAGGGAGAAAAAGGAGTCACGGGAGTGGGACTGCAAGATTGTTACCCAAAAATCGGAAAAAAAAATATAACCCTGCTCTGATACCATGTAAATTTTGGAAGAATGAATAATGCTTGTATATAATATCTTTGCGTAATGTACAAGTATATATAGCTCCTACAATCTGCTATTAATGGATGGAATATTACAATGATGGAAAATAACAAATTATAGTATATTTGTTTCCTAATCAGATCATCTATAATATTGCTCGGGATCTTTGACTTTCTCAACAGATAGACAACCAAAAACATTCAACACCTTGAAGCATGGACCTCACAAGTTCGGCCCTTCTATCATAGGACAGCGATGAGCTCGTCCATGCAAAAATATAAGCTGAAATTTTGTCTAGAAACGGAGCATAGGAGCTGATTTTCAGTTTTTCGGCCACAAGCATTATACCCTAGAGAGTGATGATGAGGTGGAAATTGAGGTTTGGATTTTATATGATACTGCAGAAAATTTGAACCTTGGGTTAGCAATGATTGGGATGGAGACTATTGTTGGTGAAAGTAGTTAGCGAGTGGTTGCGAGACTAGATATACCGGGGAAGAGAAGGGTAAGGCTCTGATTGTGGATCCTTGGTGATGATTGGTGGTTGCAAATGGTGTGTTCTTTGTACATTTATTTATCTCCATGTATTTAAGTGTGCCTGCTATTGAATGACAGAGTCAATTTTCCAAGATCTTTATTTACTATTTAGATATTAAAGTTTCTTTTTGTTCATCAGTGCCTTACATTTCATGCCTTTGACTTTACTGCTGTAGATAGCTATGTTGAGGTTCATTTCAGTCTATGTTCTTTTCAGAAAATTATGAAATGAGACGTATCTTTTATATACTTGTCTGTCTCAACTTCCTACATTTATTGAAGATGAAGACGGGATGTGTTGCTCTTGTTTTATGTTTAAACACTAGCGTCAATCCACCAGTTGTTATAAAGATATATCCTTATGCCCGGATGGAGTGCTGGATTGGTACAATCATCATCGTTCATCTTAGTCTTTGATATAAGCTCTTGCTATAAAAATTACTTTATTTTAAGTTGGTCCTATTTGCTTGATTAGCAGTGTGTCTGGAAAGTTCTCGTTCAAGTTCTGTTAAGTCTTCTGTTTTGATCTCCAATGATTAAAGTTCACCTAATAGCTTTTTGTTGTTCAAAGGTTGCAGCCATGTTATACTCTGGTGCACTTTTTAACGCATTTTCATGCATGTTGATTACATGCTCATTTTGCCAAGAGTTCTCTACAGTTTATCATTTTGAGCTAATAAATTCAATCTGAAGAATGTGAAAAACTGGAACATTTATTAACATCTTCATCTGTTGTGTAACCANTGGCGCCCCCCCCCCCCCCCCCCCCTCCCTCCTTTTTTTATAGCAATCTGGTCTGCCTGTTGAAATATATTTCAAGAAAGATATATTAATCATATACTAGCAATAAGGATGAAGATGATAGCTATACCGAACATATTCCAAGATTCATGTGCCCTCTTTAAACATTATGGAATATGGGATATTTTAATTCATTGATGAATTCACAGTTTTTCTTCCTTATAAAAATTGATCTCTTTTCTTATTTGACAATTTCAATACATTCATTTAATTTATTTTTTTTGTTTCTTCTGCAGATCCATTTTCGATGGCACCTCAAAAGGCAATTGAAACAATTGGAAGAACCTTGGATCAACAGTACTAGAGATGGCAGCCCATGGTAAGGAAAATACTACGTCTTAAACCACGTCATTGCTTGATTCTTTAAAAAGTACTCATTTTTTGTACTTGCTAAAAAGAAATAGACTGGAAAGAGATGATTTGAACTTCGTGAGGTACAGTTGAGAGTCAAATATTCATCAAACAATGGTTGATATATGGCAGGCTTATTATAAGATTTCATTAGATCCTACCATTGATGAAGTCAAGAAACTTTGTATCAAGTCTCAAATATGCGAAATCTGAGAGAGTTCTGTTTCACTATAATGGACATGGTATGCCAAAGCCAATTGCTAATGGTGAAATTTGGCTATTAATAAGGTTTCTTTCCTTAACGCTCTCAGTTTTTCTTGCGGCGTTCTGTTTCAGTACATTATTCTCTGGTTCTCATTGAGCTCTTTGATGTAGAGTTTTACTCGGCACATCCCTTTGCCAATCACTGATCTGGATTCCTGATTGAAAACACCCTCAATATATGTTTTTGGCTGCTCTGGGATGATTGTTAATGCCTTTGTTGAGGTACTCATGCTGTTGTGGAGTGAGAAGCGGTTTATATAAATCCATATGGCAATTTAATAGTTGTCTTGTATTTTCACAGCTCCAGGACAGGACTGCTTCAAGTTCTGACCCTCCACAAGGGATTGTATTTTGCTGGCAGCATGTGAAGCTCATGAGATACTTTTTCAGAGTGCTGAATTTCTTTCTGATGTATTTACTTCCTGCCTGACAACACTCATAAAAATGACGTTGAGATGGTAACGTATTTCTCCTAACCCTTCATCTTAGGAACTGCCATAGATGTTTTTAACTTCACCTCCAGTCTGTAGTTAATTTCTCTGTCTGTAAAGTGTACAGATGTTTGTGGCTAATATGCTTGTAGTTGGTGGAAAGTAGAATAAACTTTTACTTCTCTTCTTGAGATCCTTTTCCTATTACTATATCTACATTCCCATATTTGCATAATCATATATGCCCCCTTTGGTCTGACAACAAAATTGGTGTTCAATAATCTTCCTGTATGAGTTTTTAAGTTAAGAGTCATATAGTAGAATTTTTTTTTTAAGAAAGAAAGAAGTGTTCAATTATCATCCAGAGACAATACACATATTGTTGCCAGCTCACAGCTGATAATACTAACGTATTTTTTTCGTGAGCTCTGATTTACTTGGTGAACACAATTAATTCTGCAAGTGAAATGATTGAACAAGAGGCCGAAGGTTTGCAAATATACCTTTTAGTATCTTTTCTTAAGTTTTGCAATCTGCGTCTTCTAAATGAATACTGAAATTGGTTTCTTTTCTCAAATGCAATGCTAAATGGAACAAAGAAACATCTCAGGTTTCTTGCCGAGCATATTATTCGTACAAGGTATGATGTATCAAGCACTGGCATAACGTAAATTTTTGCTTTTATATGTTTTTATCATCATTCATATATGGTGTACAGACAAGCATTCATGACTGAAGATCTAATAGTCATCTTCAGTGGTGCACTGATGATGTTGATGGTTAAAATGAAAAACTATATGAATCTTTGCAGTCAAAGAGAGGGCCAGTGAGAAGTTTTAAGTTTAGGTTCATACTACTGTGATATACTGATTACTGACTTTTTAAGTTATTTGGATGGGTTATTTTTTTGGTTGTGTACTTGCATACTCATTTATATTATTTCTGTATTTCAAGCTTGTTTGAAAGGGTTATATCTTCACTACTCTTCCAGGAATCACATGCTCTGCCTCTTGGTCCTGTCTCATGCAACTGAAGTCAAAGTAGCTCGCCTTAGGGGCTTTTGCTCATGAGATGTACATGAAGATCTTATAAAGCAAAGTGTTGTGTTTCTGGTGAAAGTTTAGTCTGGGGACTATAAATTCCTTGATGTTCATGTATGTATTAGTATCTTTGTTTATGTTTCTTACTGTCAAACAAAGTGAGTTTACATTTTTTTTTAGCTTAGCCAAACACGTTGCTAGTCACCGCAGTATATGCTCTCTTATTTCTGAGGCTAAAGTTGTTCTCAAGTTTGGTGTCTATTTTAATTTATATCCTCAAAACGATATTATTATGGTGATCAGAGAAAAGAAGCTAAAAGAAACATATATTTGAACTATCTGCCAATACTCCACAATGGATTATACATAAAACGCAAAAAGAAGTAAAATGGGGAAAAATATCTCCAGGGATACTGTTGTTTATTTTGCAATTGTAACAAAAAAAATATTTAAGAACTACCTTCATAGTTTTCATCCTTTAATTCTCTTCGGTCTCAATAATATGCTCTATTCATGTTATAGAGCCTCTTGTTTGAATTGGGACATCTTTGAGAGTTCATCAACTGCTTCAACCAAGTGATCAAGCCTAGCCACAAACTCAATAAGCAATGAGGTAAAAGTTGCAAGAGACAGCGTGGCAGTACTCTCTAACGCACGCATTTTAGGAATGAAGTCTGTGCTAAAACCTCCCTCTTCTTCAAATGCATCAACTTCCCGAGAAGGCCAAGAGTAGAGCCTTCTTGATTGCTTCCTCATCATCTCATGGTAAGATTCAGTCTGTAATGGTGGGATAGTCCCTAGAGGTTGGGATGGTGTGTTCGAGTTTGGTTCAGGAACTTCCGCCAGTGGGTTTGAGAGGTTTGAAAGGGTGGTTGATAAGGTGAGTGAGAGCTTTGGCTGTGGCTTGGATGGATTACTATCAGGTGGCTCATAAGTAGATGTTAGGAGGTACGAGTGCATGTCTATTGCGCGTTGGAGGCTTTCAGTCGAGCTATGAACCCGTTTTAGGAGAGACGCTTTGAGACTTCGCTGCATTTCACATATGTCTTTGCCTAGACATCGAACTAACTCTGCAGCATCACTTGTTGCATCTTGGATCTCTTTCTGGAACGTGATTCTGAGATTACACGGAGCCTAAAAGAAGCAATATAAGAAATTGCACGTTAGTTACTGCTAACGATTTTTTTGCGAGTTGGAGTATGGCAATATTACAGATTTAAGTGATACATGGATGTGTAGCTTCTTGAGACAACTTAAGAATAAAGACCGTCACCCCATAGTATAATAGTATTAATTGGCTTTGCTAATTGTGTAAACGCATTCTCTTTGAGGAATATATTCTTCAGTAAACAGATCATAGGAATCTTTAATTACAGTTTTATCTGAAAATGAAAGCAAGACATATGAATTGTGCATATGCTTTTGTTCACAGACTAACCAGACAGTTGTTTAGTAATGTGTTCCCCAACGTAGACCACTGTATGAGAGAACAAACGCATAGTATAATTCTCGTCTTGATCAACTCATAGACCTTTGATTCGATATGCCTTTTCTAGGAAATTAGAACATTTTTCATGAGAACTGACATGGAAGATAGAACTACTTTAAGCATATTCCTTAATTCTTTAACTCGTTTAAGTCTTAACTTCTTGTGGGTTGCGTCAGGCCAATAGTTAGCGTATCTTATGATATGAATCCTAATGCGCAAAAATGTTTGTGTCGAGTTTCTACCAAGATTATCGATAGGAGAGACGACAAAGACCTGAATTTCTGAGTGAAGTACACCATGGAGTGCCATGACCTCGTATGCACAATATCTTAGAACTGCGCCAACTTTGACATATTCCGACCATGGATAAAAGAAGTGTTGAAACCTGCCATGGGGAGGTTCCCATTTCGCTGAGTTGGCCTAATAAGAAGAACCAGAAGCATTAGTAGAAATCCCAGTTAAGTGCTTGCTAGATTGAATACGTTTGAACTGATACGGAATCTGCATGGAGATGATTTGTACCAATGATTCAAGTTTGGCAGAGGAGTTCAACATGGATTGACATTTCCTGTATGCAGGTTCATCTGGAAACTTGTCCATGACAGTCTTAGTGAACTCTGGATGTTCGGATTCGTCATCATCCAAGTATTTTCGAACACATTCTGCAACCAAATGAATTAGAAATATGCTACTTGTACATAATGTGGTGTCCATAACAGTGTCTACTCCCACACAAGGAGAGGGACCCACTTCGGATATATTATATTTTATTCGAAGTGGGTCCCCCTCCATATGAAGGGGTGGACGCCGTATTATGTAGCATCACTCATGAATTTAATGTCTAAGTATGAATAGCAGCATCTGTAAATTAAAGGGTTGACAGATAGGTTTGTTTTATTTATTTTTCTTTGTACTTATTTTCTCACATCTTTCGGTTTTTTTACTATTTTTCTTAGATTAGTATACCTTCAAGTGCATCAGCCACTGAATTAAAATTGCTGACAAGTTCTTTGTGCAACTGTTCCCCAGCCCAAATGGGAAAAACGAGTACATTCACTAGCACTGCTACAATGGCTCCGATGGCAATGGAGTAAAGCCGATCCATGGCTGTTCTAATCGGATTCCCCATTCGATAGCCAGAAACAATGATCAAACAATAGGTGAAAAGTATAACTCGGAATCCATACTCGTAGGGAACAAGGGATGGCCAAAGCTTCATGAATGACGTAACAGTCCCTGCAAAATTTAAACGTGTTGTTTGTAAGGGGAGGAAAGTGAAGTTCACTTGTTAATTTCAATAGTCGGGTGACATACCAACAATGAAGATGCTTAGAGCAATTATAATAGGCTCAGCAATTCGTCCCATGCTCAAGGCTAACTCTGCAATGGCAATGGCTAAGATTCCAGCGAGCAGGCTCCCAAGTGCTCGATTGAACCCTCGATTAAATGTCGCACCTTCAGAGACATAACACCAGAGATAACATTTCAAGGTAATTATTCAATTATGTTTATGCAAGAATATGTCCATCATTGTGTAAAGTCCATGAACTTATATCCTTATGAACGATGATACTCTTCGATATTGAAGTTCCATTTTATATATTTTGACATTTAGATATATATATTGTAACAGTAATATTTAGGTGCACGTAATGATTGCGCATACACATACCAACAGTATATTCAAACATGATGGCAACAGTGAGGATGGACCAGATAATGCTAGAGCCGAAAACTTGATAAGGTGCCCGGCATAGTATCAGTAGTGATACAAGAAGAATAGCTAGGCCAACTTTTAGTGAGAATACTACTCTATTGCTATCTTCTTTGCAAAATTCCCAAATACTCAAAATCCAGCCTTTGCCCGGGGCACTAACTTCTCCACATTTCTTGTTTTCCGAAAGTTTAGTGTTGGTAATGGGAGGGATATTGATCTCAATACTACCCTTTTTCCCATTCATTCTCCAATGAAGTGATATGAATTCAACTCTAGTCGGAACTTTTTCTTTGATCCTTGTAGTTCCCTTAGTTTTCGAAGAAGTAATATTAATTCTTGATCAAAAACTAGAAAGCCCTTCTAAGATACAGTGCGCGGAAGCCTTTTTGAAAGGAAATGAGCGAGTTTATGGAAACGAGGAGTAATTGAGTATTGAGATGGAACAATATTGCTACTGCGATTTAAGGAAGAGAATTAGGCTAAGTGGCTGATGCAACTAGGAAAAGAAAGTATGTATAGTCAAGATATGATTTATTGTCTAAAAGAATAATTCAGCAATAATGTAAGGAAAGATAGAGCTAATTTCTAGGATAAAAGATGCTTAACCTCAATAATGTTGCATGGATAGAGAATTAGAATCTAAAAATGCAGTCATCAATCTCACACTTCTCTTCAAAATATCCGAGTGTCACTTGTAATAGAAGATCAACCAGCTAACGAAGAAGAAAAAACGAACAAAATATCAACAGAACTAAATATTGGAGGCCTCATTCAAAGAGGATTCTTCGTGTTGTCTAGCATAATGCTCAAACTCCTTATTGTTTAGTTTGTAATATATGCATCGAGGAATATGCCTCATTCTTTCAACATTCTCTCCTTAGTTCCTTCATCCTTCCAACATAAAATGTTAAGAGGTATTTAATTTACTAATGTTCTAAATTATATTAGTTTTTAGCATTTATGCTTCTATTCTCCTTCTGTCGTGTTCGTAAAAGATAAGTATAATGGCTTTTCTCTAGTGCGACTATGTCTTGAAAAGTGAATGACGATAAGAAGTCAAACATATTTGCTCATAAAGTGATCTGTAATTTAGGTTCACTCCAAGAAATTTGTGATCTTCCCACAACGAATTACGACGTTAGTTATAGTAAGATAAGACTGTATTATCGAGTAGATGATGAAGCAAATGAACTGATTAAAAATGATTCATTCAATGTATCCAAATTTATCGGAAATAAGATTCTATTATTACCTTCCTTTTTAAGATTTAACTTTTTCCAAATATATATATAGATAGCATGATTCTTTTAAAACCAGTATACGTGTATCCTTTTAGAATACACGCTTTTAACTCGTCTACAAAATGTTTTAACCATAACTTTACAACAAAATTATGCCCACTAATCCTTCTAATAGAATAAGATGCCTCAAGTGTCGATGATTCAAATTCATTGAAATTCTGCATAATGTTCTCAATCCAATTAAGATGCACGCGGACAACTCTTCTTTACTTACAGGTTTCTTCAACTAGGATTATTTTCCTGCATTTCCTATATTTCTAGTCCCTGTGGAATTTTTGTTCGTACTTCTTCAACGAATACTTCATAAGCATCGATGACCTCTTGTGTCTAACTCGTTTCAATCGGGAAGATCACACACTATTGAATTCTACAATATCTCCACTGTGTAAGGCCTGCATTATAGTGGAAGTTGCACCAAATCAAGAGTTCAACGTCACGGAATCTTATGTGCATCTATTGGGCGTGGTTCTAATAGTACATGTGGGGATTTGAGATTCAAACCTAAAAGTTTTAAATGAACATACCACTTAACGTTAGATACATTGCGAGCTAGACTAGTATGACTAAATATCATTATTCTAACAATCTAAAATTGTTGGTTTTGCTATGATCGCTCAAAAAGAATTTGGCAGTTGACGGCATGATCACTACATGTAAAATGATAGTTTTTTTTTAGTATGGTTGATGTTGATATTCAGAGTTAAGTTAGTTTATTAGATTTTTAAGATAATTAGAATTTGTAATTTAGATTTCTCGTAATTTATTGTAATAATTAATGACGTCATGTAAAGGCAACAGCATTGGTTAAAACAAACAGCGTTTGTAGTCCAACGGTTAGGATAATTGCCTTCCAAGCAATAGACCCGGGTTCGACTCCCGGCAAACGCATTTCTTTTGAGTTTTTTTCTGATTAATAAAAAATTCGTTTTAAAAACTCCTTGTAAAAAAATATTCATCCAAAAATCTGCAGTCTCTCTCTCTCTCTTCTTTGTGAAAAAACGTCAACTTGAACGCAGAATATATAGAAAAAGCGAAGAATTTTCCGAAACAGATTAGGGTTTTGTGCATGTGCGCTGTAGTACTGGAAGGGAGAAGGTGAAAATGCATAAAATTCATGTATTCGATCACTCCCTTATCTCTTAAATTTTGGAATTTTTTATTACCAGCCTAAGTTGAAGATGTTGCTAAGCTCAAATTGCATTCCGTCTCTTCCCCTTTCAACTTCAAGCCCTAGATTTAGGTCTTCGAAACTCACCCCTGTATCAGTTTTCCCTCTCACTCGTAGCATTCGGGTCCCGGAAACTCATCGCAGTTTCTCAACTACTAAGGTAAAAATAAAACAAATTCAACTTTTACCTTTTCATGTATCACACTCGGCAGTTTTTTTATTTTTATTTTTTGTGTTATAGGGAGTGAATTATGAAATTCGTTTAGATGTGTACCGGGTTATGTTTTTGTTGGCGCATTATTAGCCATAAAACTCCAGTAAATATGTATTTCTTCATTCATTGATTTATTTTGTATTATTTGATGCGAATTGATTAACTGACGAAGAAAGTTCACATATTGTTCTTCTTTACGGCAACTATCTTCGTGAATGACTACCTTTTTTGGAGGAGTTGGGGCCTTTTTAGATTAAAATGATTATATTTACTTGTCAAAAGAAATACTTAAGATTGGCTGAGTTTTTCAGCTCATCAGGCAGTCTCTCTAATGCGTAATCAAACTTATATTTACATGCATTTGCCTTTGTTAATGTATGGAGATATAGAATAGAATAATTAAAGACATTGAGATGCTTCAAAATGGTCAATTTTCGCTCGATGAACTAGAGTGGCAGCTATCGCGTTAATTGATGATGTTAATAGTGACAATGATGTGATATAGTTGAATTTGATACAATAATTTAAAAACTTTGAATGTATTCTGATGTAGAACCAAGAACGTACCAAGGAAAATTATGCAAGTGTATTCAATAATACAAATTTATTTGTAAATGAAAACCTAAGTCCCTTTATATAGAAAAAGGGGTCTGTCAATCTAAAGGACTTGTAAAAGATAAATATCAAGCTCCTAATTATTAAACAAAACCGCAACATAAAACTACTAAAACCTACATTAACTCAAGCTCTATCTTCTAATCCTTCGCCTTGAGTGGATTTGTAGTTGTTTCCAAGTTGCATCATATTCGTTCTATGGTTTGCTAAACATTTCTTTGTTTGCTACGAGTGGAATTTTTATCACTACAAAGTGCTTTATGCTTTTAATTTTATTATCTTTTCTTCAAATGAAATTTAAATATTTACTTTATTATAAATATAAACATATATTTTTCAAAATGCCTCTTCAGGAATCTGTCCTACTTTTTAGGGATGTCGTGTCAGGTTTTCTATTTTCATTGTGTTCTATATATTAGCCATATAAATCCCAATTATTTATATCTTAATGTCTGTGAATATGGATGTCTCTTTCCTGTTTTTACATTTGTTTTTTAAATTAGTCTGTTAGTTTAGGCATAAACTGGTTAACTTTAGCTGTTTTTTTTTTGTTGTTACAGTAACTAAAATATGGGTTGAATTTGCTTCTTTTTTTCAAACCATCATCCATGAAAATCCAATGTTTTTCTCCTAATCTTTATTGATGTAAATATTCTCTTGAATTATGTTCTTTTCTATATACCAGTGACTTCTTTGTAATCATAGAGTAATGATACTTTCTTTATGATTGTTATATTATGTGTGTACTTGTAGGCAAGTATATATTTGGATGTGTGTCATTTTGAAAGCTGTATACGAGCTTAGTTTCAGTTCTTTCATATTGTAGAAGAGGAAAATCTTGTGCTTTAGGCATGAAGAATTTTCATCAGGCACCCCAAATCCCGAGTCTATTGAGGAGGTTCTTCATGAGGAGTTGGAGAAGGTGGAAGTTGATAAACCAAATGTTGACAAAAGAAATTGGGTTTCAACTCTTGGTGAGGTAATAATGCCATTTCTTTTATTTGGTGTTTTTGATTTTTGTTATTTGCTTTTCATAGCTGATTGATAAACAGTAGACACAGCATGAACTTCTCATGTAAATAGTGGCCTGGTTGTACCTCAGCCTGATCACCTGGAAAATTCTGATGGCCCTTTCTCATTTCTTGTATAATGGTAAAACATGAGTTGATATATTATAAATTAGATAATCCAAATATATTTCTTTACTAATGGGAATTGGTTAAGGAAATTTGCTCTAGTGAAAGTCGGTTCTTGTAAGCATGGAATATGTGTATGATGCACAGTAGATGCACTGATGCTGGATCACTAAGGGTTTGTTTGGTGTAGGTTTCAGTTGCAAAATAAGGCTAATTCCTAAAAGAATATATTTTAGAATGTGACATTTCGAATTGGATTTGTCAGTTTTTAATATGATTCTTTGGCCTCTTTCTTTGAGAAAAGTTTGGCTTCTTAGGGTGCAACTCTCTCTATGTAGTATTTTTTTATTTAAAAATAATAGAATAAAGCAATTCTTTACCAACGAATTATGTAAATTTAAGTAACTACTCATATTTGAATTGGCTTCATCAGCTCCTTTTCTGAGAAGCTCTGGTACAGTGATACTTATTCTTTTAAAGGTCCTTCTTGGGGCCTCAGCTTTGTGGAGGTCCTTGAAAACATGAGCAAGCACGCAAGACCATCTAGCAGTGATTTAACTTGAGAAGCACTTCTTGAGCTCTTTACAGCCTACCAAAATGATACCCAATCCAATTTAGAGACTGTGTGGCGATGTACATACAATGCAAATGTCCCTTTTCCAAGTCACTGAGTAGAGTACGAAAGGGGAGATGATCTTAATATCCTGCCACATTTATTACTGGTTTTAACCAATAAATTGTTCTCTTTGTTTTCATATTAGAATGTAAAAGCGAGAGGGAGAGATGGGGGAGCCAGGGAGGGAACCTAACAATATGGATGGAATGTTCGATCGTCACTCACAAAGTTATGATGTATCATAGAATTGTTAGAACATTTTGTGAGTAACTGATGGGATCCATATTACATCTTCGTCAGATTGCGGGTGAAATGTTTAGAGTGATTGGGAAACCATGGACTGTGCCATGGACTGCAGAGACCATCCTACAGGTAAGGGTACTCCTCCCTCTTACGATGACATAAACTGAAGTGTCAACTAAATTAGGGTAAAAAATAATGTTTTTGTTGCTTTGAGTGTTTAAATGAGTAATTGGGTAGGTAAAAGAGTCTTAAATGAAGTGTTATACTGTCATGGTACAAGGTGGAAATTTTCCATTTTTAGAGCTGTTATATTATCTAGAAAATCTGAAGGAAGAGAAACATTTTGAAGTTGAGGGATAATACTTTATTTTGGCCCTAGTACATATATAGATGTCAAGTTTTGAAGCCCTTGAAGTCAGCTGACCAATAGACATGTAGATATTGTAACTTTTTGGAATTTTTTCCTTTTGTAAATTTACTGTTCATTTCATTGTGAAGCTTTCTTTAGTTTCTATAGTATTTTGGTGCAATAGAGAAACCCGTATCTTGTCTAGTTTGCTAATATAATATTATTTTCTTCCCCTGTTTCCTAAGTAAATAAGATAATAAAAATAATGACAATAATATTTTTTTCCATGTTTTGAAAAATTGTGGTGACGCAGGTTACACTTCTTTGGATCGTATCATTCTGGTTTGTGGGTTCTTGGATGATCCCATTTGGAGCTCACATCATTGGCTTCAGCAAGGAATCACTAACTTACAGAGGGCAGGCATTGTTCAGCCTTCTGACCGATGTAACTGAAGGTCTTGCTGGAATTTTAATTCTTTATCAGTGTTTGTCTCGGTTCTGTCCCCTTCCATCTGATTGGTTCAGATTTAGCCTTAGAGGGAACTGGCTTTTTGATGTTTTTCTTGGATGCTTGATGTTTCCATTGGTCAATCGTCTCTCACAATTCAACCTAGATCTTCTTCCAGTTTTGCCTTCGACTCCTGTCACATTCTCAAGTGTAGAGCAATCAATAGTGGCTCGAGATCCAATTGCAATGGCACTTTATGCACTGGTACTTGTTGTTTGTGCTCCTTTGTGGGAGGAAATCGTCTTCCGAGGTTTCCTTCTTCCTTCTTTGACTAAATACATGCCTGTGTGGTGCTCGATATTGGTGAGTTCAGTCGGCTTTGCTTTGGTGCACTTTAATGTACAGAGGATGTTACCACTTATTTTTCTAGGGGTTGTGATGGGTGTAACTTATTCAAGATCAAGGAATCTATTACCATCCATCCTCTTGCATAGCCTGTGGAATGGCTTTGTATTCTTAGATTTGATGAAATAAATCTCATTTCTTATTTCTCATACAAATCCAAACCGTGTTGTACCCTTCGACAAAAACCTAATCTCAGATAGCCTAATCCGGATGAGTCATTCCACCATACCCTCAGAGACATGGTTCTTCGACTATGGTTCTGAAGTCAGTTGATCCGAGCATTTTGATCAAACGGAAGTAACTCTGCCCCATAAAAATAGAAAGCAGTCCTCAACAATTACTCCTTGGTTCGGCCGAAGGGATGATAAGCAAGATAAATTTTTACATGGACTGCATTGTGGCTGGATGGGAAGTTTCACACACCAAAGTTGTGATATTTTTTATGTTGTATAATGAGAAAAACACCAATCTTTTTCTGATACTAGTTTGTAAATTGGTAAAGTCTTCAATGATTTGTACACAGACATGTTTTCAGATTGTTAATGAATTTATTTTTGTATAGTTCTAGTCCTACCAATAGAAGCTTATATATAATACTTTGGCTTGTATTGAGATAAGGGGATGGCATTGCCAATGTCTACTTTACTGCTTATACTGGATTAGTTGTATACTCTTTAGCACTGAGGAATGCTAACCAAGAAGATTATTTTTTTCTTTTGTTGTACTGTTTAGTTCTGTGTATATATATCACGCAAAGTTGTTAAGAAATTTGAATTTCTCAGCGGGCATAACCTATACCAATAATGGTTACTTTTGTTCGATAATCGTGTCAAACAAATCTAAGAAAAAAATTAGAATTCCAAAAAAGAAAAGGAAGAAGAAAAACGTTAGCACCTTTTCCAAAGATTTGAGTAAAAAACAAAAGGATAACCATTTTATGTCAGAAGTGGGATTTGAACCCACGCCCTCTCACGAGGACCAGAACTTGAGTCTGGCGCCTTAGACCACTCGGCCATCCTGACTATGTGTTCTCAGGTCCAAAATTAACATAATAAAGACAATATTAGAATAACTTTGCTGCATGATAATTGCAGCCACGGTCCCAAACCTATCTTTTTTCGCAAACTTTATCCAAACCTTTATTTTGTGCCATCCTAGTCTCAAAACTTTTAAATAATCACACCAAAAGGACAATAGTGGAAACCATCCATTCATCCTTTAGTTGACCTTAAAAAAAAAAGATTTTTTGACCATTTAAAACAAGGGAAATGAGAAGTGACGAAAGTACCATTGTTTTAACTGGTCAAAAAACTCATTTTAACGTATACTAGACATGACTCTATGACTTAGACAAGATTTTTTTTAACTATTGACCAGTCAATGTCCAGTTTGCGTTATCATATTTATATTTTATTCTTTGGGAGAATTGTAAAAATATTTTACTAAGTATGTTGCGAGGAGCAACCATAATATATGATTAGAAATATAGCGACGCACGACACAACATAATCAAATGTCCCACGAAATTTAAAGTTGACATCTTGTACTCTTGAGATCCCATTTTTACTTAATTGATTAAGTTTTCAAGTAGTACTTTCATGAGAGGTCACGCCATATGCCATCTCCTAGTTTGCATTATTTTTATTTTACTTTGTTTTATTGTATGTTGCATAAAAAGAAAAATGTGTTTGGAATTAAAATTACTAGCCAATTAACATATATCGCGAAATAATTATGAAAACTGAAAATGTAGGAGCAGTATTAGAAGAATTTCATTTTTAACTATTATTTTGATCGTTCCATTTGCAATTATTGTATGAGATTTAGACCTTTTCTCCTAATCCTTTCAAGAAAGTAAGAAATCTTGAATTTAGGATATTTAATTTCTTTAATACCATATTTCAATAATAATTTCATCAATTGAATAAATTTCTCTGTAGTTTACTCCCCCCTTCTTTTTTTTTTTTTTTT